GGGGATGCGTCGACTTTTGTCTCACAGAATGCGGGCGCATCGTTAACTAAAGGCAACGATTTGACTGTCTCGATCCCCATAGGCTCATCAGAAGAAGGAAGTGATCCAGCCATGCTGCAATGCACCATTCCCTCCGCGGAACCCAATGACAGTATGGTTGATGCGATTGATGGTGTGATGCCCGTTGAATCTATGACGACGAATCTGACCTCTAGGTCTGAGCTTTCCTGTACATCCTCTGTCAAAAAGTCTTCGGAGATCACACAAGACGCTGCCGATCGTCCATGCAGCCCCATTGCTGCATCAAAAAATCGAGACGAGTTTCTTTTCACACCTTCCTTAGACAATTCAGATGTAATGGATGTGTCTCATGCCAACTTAGCGTCATCTGCCCAAATTTCTACCAAGGGCTCAGCTCCAATCTCCGCTGTCGAGGGTGATGGCAAGACTAGTCCCAATCCCCTTCAAAATAAACCAGTTCCCAGTGAACCTGAAAACCTATTAACTGATAAAGAGCCATCATTTATTGACGCTGATGGATCATCTTTCAGAGCCGCATCGCCAAACATCACTTTCCCAGACAGTAGAAATGAAATTGACGGACCGATTTCAGAAAAAGACACAATACAGCATATAACTAATGGTTATCAAGAGGAATGTGCCTCACCGTGTAGTAAAAACTTTTCAGAGTTTTCTAATTATGCATCTCAAATGCCATGTGAGAAATCTTCCCGTGAACAAGACCTCCAGTCTTTAGCCGCAGCGTTAACCAATGGTCACCGTGACTTAGACGAACCACCGACCACCGACCAATACGCTGCTGCTTCTCCATTTCCGGCAAAAACTGCCACTGACCTTTCAGAACAACTTGAAGTCACCGAGCAGTCGGAAAAAAGTGTACCCTCTATCGAATGTCTATCTGCGGTTCCAGAACTAGTAATTGCATCGTCCCACGCCATTGATAGATCAAATCCGCCTACTGATGAGCTACCTTTGTCGAAAAAAACCGCGGCCGATGTACCCTTACCTTCTAACGATGCTTCGACCGATAATTGCATAGAAAATTTAGTGGACTCGCCTCTGTCCTCTCAAGCCCCACCTGACCAGGCTCCTGAGTCATCCGTAGTCATGAGCACTTCGTCTTCTTCATTGGTTTCCCCGGTAGACTCCGGTAAGACTGAAGACGTGGTGGAACATGTTCAAAAGCCTTCACAGGATGTGTCAACTACTGACACTGATGCGAAAATTTCATTGGAGCAGCAGGTGGAGTATCTTTCAGGCCAACTGAGTAGAACTCAGACCCAGCTACAGTCCTTGTTGGAGGAAAAGCACCGCTGGTTGGTCGCTACTCGTCCCACACCAGCAGCTTCCCAGGACAGTTCCTCACTGGCTTCCGAGAAAGCAGCACTCGTAGTCAAGTACGCTCAGGTGTGTGATTCGCGAAAAGCCTTTCATATTTTGTCTTCATAGCAAAGATTTTTATGTTTGCTCTTTGCCTATCGGAATATTTTTTGGTTGTTTTTGTCCTTTGAACTTAACTGCTGTTTAGTTGTACTCTTACCAGTTGGCACCAGTGCTGGCTTAGCCAACTTCCTTGTCTGTGACCGTTCGGAGTAGTGCGATCATATTCTCCTTCCTCGGCAACAGTTCTCCAATTTGACTTCCTCTCTCAAACATCGCAGACAGTCCGGCCTAACATTATCGTAAAGTCGGACGTAGTCCTAGTTGTCCGTTTTTTAATTGGGTGTCGCGTTTTGGTACTACTTGCTAAATGGTTCTAGGGCCTAGAAAAATGCCCTTTATGGCATGACTTTTTAATCAACCAGATGCATATTCTTGTATATGGTCTGACTTTTTGCGTCAGAATATTGGTTTTATATGTGCGCAGTAGGTTAACCTTTCTTGCTGATGTTGCTGAACGGCTCCGTAGTTGACTATGCTCGAGTTCGGCACCTGATGCTATAATTAACATTTGGCAAAAAATATGTCGCTAATTCGCGTTAGCTAAGAACCATATACCAACGGAGTAGTGTGCGCTAGGGTACCCAATGTTTTTTTATTAATTCCAGTATCTCATTGCTTAGGCCTTTCTCCTTTACAGGATACCAAAACCAACCTTATTAAATGCGTTTTCTTCGCTTATCAACCCTCTCATAACTAAGTATCTACAGGCTGCGTTACCATTGTGTATGCACGTTTCATGACCGTTTTTAGTAAAGTAATTTTCAAGGATGCATATTCTGCTTTGAAGTTATGGGAAGCTTGCTGTCTAACTGTATTCATGCGTAGGTACTGGAGCTCCTTCTCCGTATTTTAGTCTGAACGCTTGCGCTGTAAGGCCGAGGCTCGCATAAAAGAACTCGAAAGTCTGCTGAACAAGAACCGAGGCAACTCACTGACTGAGTCGTCCTCTCCATCTCCTTCGCCTGCTCTTCAAAATGACACAAAAGAGTTTCAAAAACAGCTGGACGAAATGACAAAAGTGAGTGGAATTTGCTTTCTTTCCCTCTTTAATTATTCTAATTTGCCAAACCAATATGCCTATTTTTCGGCATACCAGATGTGTTTTTTCCTTCGAGGGTTTGCCATATTTGTTCTGAGGCCACTTGCATACTGTAAGACACATCAAACTCTCTTATTTTAAAGCGAGATATATAAAAGCGTTGCACGATGTCCGTGTTTTAAATCCTTTCTCTGTCAACTTAGCGAATAGAAAACTTATATATGCTCCCGAGCCGAATAATACACAGCGACCACGGTGCAATTGAGTGGCATCGACGTCATCCTTTAGTAGATCCTCTCAGATAGGTGCCATTGAACTCCCGAAATCTTTTAATACAGCATTACCGTAATAACATTAGACAGGTAACTATAAATGGTTTATCACGTCTTGCCGGCCAAAGCTATGTTGGCGTCAGTTTTGTCGCCGCCTGTTACTTCCTAAACTGGCTCTTACGGTTGTCATCTACTCACTACACGTAAGTAACTTCTGTTTACGCAGTATAATCGTTACGAAGACCTGCGCTGACGCGGCTCTTCGTACTGCATAAACTAAAAGATAATTGTAGTGT